GAGAGAAGACAGAGAGAAGACAGAGAGAAGACAGAGGGGAGGAGGAGAAAGCAAAACACCTAAACCATAACACTACACCTTTTTTTATACATTGATGTTTTCAAAGTAAATGGATACTCCTTTTTAATAATCGTGATATCAATTATTGACCCAAATAATCGAGATTATGATTTTTGCCATAATCGAGCAGCCCTACCTTCAATCCTCTATTAGTTATAACAGGGTATATAACATTGGAAATGTAATCGAGACAGATCCTAAAAGTTTATCAAATTCATCCAAATCCTGCAAATCCAATATCGCCAGAACGCATCCCTGCTCATTCGGGGAAAAAGCAAACATTCACTGACATACTTTAGATTACATAATACAAAATACAGCAAATCCTTATATTAGTGAAACTCAAACCCTGGTATTTGTTGGCACTTTGAGCTTTTAGTTCCAATGTATTTGAGAGCAGGCAGTATCTTCAACACTGGATAAAACAAGGTTAAGAGAAAGCTCTGCAGTTAAGAGGAAACATATGTTTGAATTTTGGGATAATCTGGCCCTTTAATAGTAAAGCAAGTGCCCTTTTAAATGTTTTGCCCCTGACCCTCAAAGCTGACTCCAGCCCTGAAGCACAAGTAATATGTGGCATAACGAAAACAAAAAAACACTTTAGTCAAGCACAAGTAGCTCACCGTCAACTCAAATATCCAGGATTGTGTTTATATATCGCTACATAAGGAACAACTACAGTGTATACTGTATGTTGGCAAAGATAATACATAATCCCCTAAATGTTATACCTAGTATATAAACAGAAATAAAATAATGTTGTGCAAGAAGAAATAGGGCAGAGCTAATATGCAGGAATTATTATATCAGAATCAGAATCAGAATCAGAAACAGGTTTATTACCAGGTAGGTTAAAACATACGAGGAATTTGACTTGATGTTGTGGTGCATACATAAAAACATAGATAGAAAACTATTTGAAGAAAACTATCAAATCAAATCAAGTTTTATTTATATAGCACATTTATAAACGCTTTTTGGTCGAGCCAAAGTGCTGTAGGCCTACATTTAATAAAAATAGCCTACAGTAGAGACACTTTACAGCAAATACAACAGCACAGATTGTTTAGAATATCAGTATGAGAAAAAACGACACCCTCTATCCTTAGACCCTCTGTCCTTAGACCCTCTGTCCTTAGACCCTCACATCGTACAAGGAAAAACTTCCAGAGAAAACCCACAGTTTAAAGGGAACATGCGAGAAACCTCAGGGAGAGCAACAGAGGAGGGATCCCTCTCCCAGGACGGACAGACGTGCAATAGATGCCGTGTGTAAATCCAAGAGATAATACATTTTACAGCATATAGACCGAATGTTAGGAAATGCATGTGTCTGTAATCAGAAGATGAATCCACGAGGATGTCAGCTACAATCCTGAGGAAGCCATCAGGGAAGCAGCATGACGAGACCCAAGGCAGGACCGCAGAGACAGGTTCAGCCACGACCCGAAGTCCACGACTTAATCCAGAACTCAGGATAGAGGGATCCAAGACACAGGACTACAGCAAGAGGATCAGCCTCGACTCTGGATCCCGGCGTAGATATAGATACAAGACAAGAGAAAAGATTTGTCTGGGTTTATCGGAACTAGAGAATACACAGACACAGACAGAGAGGGGAAAGGTCATTGGATAAAAGTTATTCTTGATAACCCTCTAGAAAGATCTCATGAACTTCCCCACTCAATCTATCAAGAAGAAAAACTATAATAACATTAAGAAATATTAAAAAATATAGTAAAATATAGCAATATTTACATTGAATATGGTTATAATCGTATAAATAGAATTGGAATAAAATATGTGCGGTAATGAAAAACAAGATATTGTGTACATTGTGTGCATTAATGTAATGCATTGAGTCTATGACAGTGTCAGTGGGGGTCCCAGGCCTTGTTAGTGATAATAATAATACTGTATATATACATACAAAAGATAGATAAAACAGACTGTAGGTAAGGTGCAAAATCTACTTTTTCATGTATCAACATGTGTCTCCTCTGTGTAAAGAGATTCTGAAAGTTTCAGGAAAAAAGATCCCCTCTCTTTGAAAACGGAGCAGAATATGTTTTTTTTGGCTTGTGTAAAAAATCAGCCAATCAGCAACCAAGGTACCCACCCCCCCCCCCCCCCCCCCCCCCCCCCCCCATCACCTGAATCTCTTCCTAAAGCACCATTGAGTTCGTTTCTCACCAAATCTCTCTCAGAGGGGCGTGGGGAGGGGCTCCTTATTTTCATCTGACAGACAGAGAATCAGCACTTTTGAAACAGGGCTGAAACAGAGGGGATTATGGGTAATGCTGCAATGATTTGTTTGGTGTTTCAGCCAATCAGAGACATGTTTGTATATATCTGAGACCTGTGATATATTGATGAAAAACTGTATAATAGGGGACCTTTAACATTTTGTCCACTTCAAGTCAATAGAGATAACATCAGAGGGCGAAAACTTCTTATATGTTTCTCTTTCTAGCTGAATGTTCTACCCAGTCCAACAACGCTTCACCGAACAATTTCACCAACATGTCAGCTGGTGACATCGAAGCCTTGATTTCAGAGAAAGGCCGACTGCGATGCTACAAGATTCAAGATTCAGGATTCAAGGCTTTTATTGTCATTTGTGCATAGCTACAGTATAGTTATGCCAATTAAAGTCTTAGGTCACAGACTCCTCCAACAGTGCAACAACAATAGAACAGATAATAGTGCAAGTAAATAAAATAAAATATAATATAATATAAATATAAATAGTGCAGAATACAATGATCTGTTAGGTGTTTCAGCAACACTTCAGAGACAGGTTTTGTATATATATATATCTGATAGCCTACCTGTAATATATTGATGAAACAGTATAATAGGAGACCTTTAATGCATTTTCCTAATCGCCTTCACCACCACAGGGCACTAAACACTCCTCATACACTCTGCAGGCTCAGAAGGGGCGTTCCCGGTCTGAAACACAGCCCCGGACATTTGAGCTCCGTCAGTGTGGAGGAAGAGCTGAGCGGGGATACACACTGCTGCTCGGCCTCTTGCCTTTGGATCAAACCGAGATGTACCTCTTCCAAAAAACACCTTAAAATACATTTCAAATAACCTGCGGATTTAAAGCACGGCTCGGGATTCCGACGCGTCTCTGACCGCGGCTCAGGTCTCTGAGAGTCCCGAGGAAACGTCCCTTTGTTCGGCTGGTTTCATCTGCCCTTCACCTGCAGCATGGAGCATTTAGAGAAGGAGCTCCGGGCGGAGGACGAGGCTGAATATGAGGAAGAAGCAGTGGACCCCAGAATCCAGGTAATGCAGATTTTACTCGGTAGTATTTGTTATTGTGTTTTCTGTGTTCATTGTGGTCCAGCCCTGAATGTCAGCAGAGTCCTGGCATCATGCACACTCAGCATGTGGCTTTATTACATTGATTAAAGAAAATGTTGCCCCTCAGTTTACATCTAATGTCTAGATATACATTTATACAGTTGGTACAAGATCTTTAAGATTGTGGTTATTGTTTTGCAATTGTGTTAAATCTGCTCCATGACAACTGTAATACTAATATATGTTCAGGGACAACTGTGCATTAACACAGAGACATACTGTAGCATATACTAAAATATGCAAACATTTTATAATTTAAATTAAGTCGATGCATATTTTAAAGCTATGCAGACCTTTTTAAAATAAAGTGACAGCCTCTTACATACACAAAATAATCAAGAGATAAAATAAGTAAAAAGCCCTCAAGACTAGAATGCCTTATGATCTAAGGTTTTGAGAAAAAAACAAATAAATATTCTTATTTTCAGTGTTTTAACGTGAGAAACAGCTTATTTGTCAAAAATAAGGATTCATCCAATTTGATAATTCTGCAGATTATCTTTATAAAAATATGAATCATGATTCCTTCTGTTATCTGCAAACTGTCAACATATCGAATAGACTATTCTTCAGTTGTCTTCCAAACTGATCCATTTGAGAGAAACATGTGGGAAGCACCAATCCCATCTGATGGATTGGTGTGAAGGTCGAAGCTGACCTTATGTACCTTTTTATATAAGATGTGACCGATCCACATTGAATACACTTTGATGTCACCAAACAATGTCCGGTTTCTGCAGGTCATGAATACTCAGGATTTCTTGCCACATGACAATCTTGCAGTGAAATGCACATATTTTAAAGTTGGAGAACAAGAGAGCACTGGTATCTGCAGACCAGTTCATGCATCACCATCTGTACCAGGGAGACGATGTCAGACCAGTGCAAGGGTACAATTAATAGTTTGTTATTAAATGTTATGTTTATCCACAGCTGTACTTGTTTTGTTCTCTAAAAATGTAATGTGTGATTTGGATAGTGACCTTTGTTCTATATGAATCTGTCCAAATTCCACTGTGTTCCACTTAATGTTTTCCAGATGTTGCTGACGTTCCCCCTCCAATACTATACGATATATAGATATTATGTTTCACCCCATTTCTCCTCCTTACATTTCTGTTGTTCCAACCTTTCTCTCAGGGGGAGCTGGAGAAACTCAACCAGTCCACTGATGACATCAACAGATGTGAGACAGAGCTGGAGGTCAGTCCACACACACACACACACACACACACACACACACACACACACACACACACACACACACACACACACACACACACACACACACACACACACACACACACACACACACACACACACACACACACACACACACACACACACACTCACACGTTTTGCCTCTTTGACTGATGTATCCGCCGTCAGCAGATATTCTGTTCACCTACGATCTAACTTGTGTTGACAGCCTGTCAGTAAAGTGTTGTTTTTAAAAGTATAGCAGTGTGCAGCAGTTTTTTTCTGGAAACAGCTGGACCTTTGCTCTTGCCAAGTTGTTTGTTAAGTTCACCTTTTGTTCAGTGTCAGCAGTTTTCAACACACAAGGAGTCTGCCTGAATCGTGACATTGACATATTGTGTGACAATAAACTAATTTAAAGAGATTTTACTGGCAGCTGTATTCAGACTCAAGAAAGATGTCATCTTGCATAGCTGATCTTTGAATCCCATCAAAGCCCAGTACAGTTTGATTGCTTTTATGTAGGTCAGCAGTTATTGTGTGAATCTTTCTGGTAACAGGGCAAAGGGCGTTTTGTTCTCTGTGATGTGATGTATTATTGGGAGAAATGGATTGTAGTTGACCTAATGACTTCACCATTTTGGCATGATCTAGTTTTATCATGCAGGTCCACCAAGAAGAGGATTCAGTAATCACATATTGTAAGGTCAAAACAGTTCAAATATTGTGGTCAATATGGGCTGAACATGAGATGGGCAGAAGCAGGTGTTTTTCAATCATAGTCAAGGCCTATTTCTGCTTATTTATTCTAATTGTTTAGTTTATTTAAATGTCAGAAATGGTGAAACATTCCCGTTTCTAAAGCCCAAAAGGATGTATTTCGATAACCAATGTGCAAAAACCCAAATATATTCACTTTACTTTATGTTGAATAAAAGCAGGAAACGTTCACATTTTAAGAAGCTTGAACAACATAGACTGGATTCAGTCTATGGTCTAAGGTCAGTTTCAATCAACTAATTGACATATCATTGCATATGAAAGCATTGTTGCTACACAATTATATTATTTTGCCTATTGCATGAACATGGGGTTCAGTTCTCTTACATTAAAGACCTAAAAGCAGCTTCCAGATAAGAGCTTACATGAAATCGCTACTAATATAAATCAAGTTTGTTTTGTGGTCATGTAGGGCTGGGCACTATATCGATATCTTTATATAAGGCTGGATATCATCTTCAATTAGGGATAGAGTAATATTTATTCTCCTGGTTTTAAAGGCTGCATGACATTGAAGGGACGTCATTCATTTGAGTGGTTTTTATTGTCTTTACCCACTTTTCTCATTCTTGTCCTTGTATAAATATGTCATGGAAGCTCTAAAAGTCAACCGTACAATATTGTCGCAATGTCCATTTTGAGATATATGGTCCATAATATTGTCATATTTGAATTTCTCCATATTGCCCAACCCCTACGTCATTGTTTAAATGACTCTCCTTCATCTGTATTTGTCAGTTTTGTGATTTGTTAGGTCCCTTTTAACCTATTTCTATCTGTGTGCTCAGCGTTCCCCAGTGTGTCGAATCTTAAAACTTGACTGATTTACATTTCGACCATTTCTCTACGGTTGCACACATTGGAAAAATAAAGTCAAGTTGTTTTCATGTTGGTACAAAGACGCCTGTTGTTCAGATGTAGGACAAACTGTAAACAAGGTCACGTCATCCTCGGGTTGTTGTCTTACACTTCGAATGGAGCATGATTTAGTGTTTAAACAGACGGATTGCTAAGAAAGTGGAAAAATGACGTCAACTGAACTGTCTAACAACACCAAGGGAAATCTTAACAAAAGACAATCAATTGCATTTATGTTCTTTAAAGCTGACACATTTTAAAACAAATAAATGTTAGGTAATGGACTTATGATAGTCGATTGAACAAAAGGCATTTTTTTAAGTGGAAATGACTAAATTCAATGGTTCCAGTTCCTTACATTTGAAAATGTTCTCTCTTTTTGTGCCTTTCTTTTATGAGTTAACTCAATATCTTTTGATGTAAGACTATTGTTTTGACACCATGATGCATAGAAGATATATATAGTGCCTCTGGGAAATGTGCTAATCAATTAATCGAGAAAATAGCGAGAAGATGTATTAATAATGAAAAAAGGAGTACATTAGATCACCAATAAGAGCATGAAACTCATGAGTTACAGACTATAAGCTCAAGACTTTCTCGCCCTCCTTTATCATGGCCTTTAGTCAAAGCCCAGAACAACCTAGACTTCTGATATGATGATTATAATATGATATAAAAAAGCGCTTGATTTGAAGCGTCACTACTGCTGATTACAGGAAAAGGGGATTGGACTAGAGTAATAATGAGCTGATAGTCATGGGAACCTCACTGATGGTATGACCTTAATGCAATCTTTCATAGCAGTGATGTAAGATAACGAGAAGTGCTAGACATAAGACCCTTAGTGTTGACAAGGTGAAGTCCACGTCAGTATAATGACAAAGATACAGAGAGGTTGAAGGAACAGATATATGTTTATTAAAATGAACTGATTCAAGATAATCTTTCTCATAATATTTGTAGCTTTACAACCTGTGTTTTCGGCGATTCCGAAATGGAGATAAGGGACAAAAGGGAGAAGTTTGTTACTGAGTTTTAAAATAATAATTGGTATGAAGGCTTTATAAAGAACCACAACATTAAGGCATTTATGTTTTATCGAAAAGGCGCTTTCACACCGGAGTACGAATTGTTCCGATAGTTCCTGGGAATTTTGCGATCACACCAAAAAGATCTGGAACTAGAACTTTTTGCAAACCTTTTCACCCCTTTTTAGTCCCTGCTAGAGAGGTGGTACTTTCCTGGGGAGAAAAAGGTTCCAATTTCTGATTGGCTGGGCGAATTGAAACCACGCCCCGTAAAACTCTGAAAAGTTTTTATGAAGCCGGCATTTTATTTGCTCGCATTAGCATTATTAGCATTAGCATTAGCCCAGCGCACCAACGGAGAGAGACTAACTTATGGCAACACAAAAGAAAACATGGAAGATGAGGAGGTGTCGGCGCTTCTGGCGATTTACTCGGATGGCTTCAGTAGAAGCTGCTGGGAGTCCCAGCAGCTTCTACTGGAGCCAGTCCCCAACTCCGGGGACTTCCGGCCGGGGACTTCGGGTGGCAATATACGCCGTGAAGTTGTTTGCGGCCTGCCAGTAAACCCAAAGCAGAAGAAGAATACATGACGTGAACGCGATTTACTAGATAGTTCTAGGGAATAAAAGTTCCGGGAACTATTCCTGGGAAAAGTAGCCTTCTGTACTTGGTGTGAAAGCGCCTCTTAAGTCAAATTTGAGGGCGTTTAGTTCCCACATTTGACAAACAGTTTGGAAATCTAGGAACTTTATTTTGGACTGTCAGCAAAGGGTAAAAAGGGTCATGACATCTTCCTTCCCTTTTTAAAAGGGAAAGTCAGATCCGGTTTTCATTTCACGAGAAACCCAATGTTCTGAATAACAGAGCGAAACACATTTTTACTGAACTGCCTTACTATTTAATATGAGGTAGTTTTTGTTTCAAAGTGCCGTTAGTTGATTCATGGATCAACAGTTCCTTTAATCCTTTATTAAGAAAAATGCAAAACATTCAATAGTTTGAGCTTCTTAATTGAGATAATGATAAGATTGTTAATGAATACCCTTAAGGTTCTGACTGTTGTTTGGAAACAAGAAGACTAAGCTGAGTGGCTTTACTTTTCTACAGTCCTTTGTGCTAAATGCTAACGCTAACCATTGTGACGATGCTAACATACTAATGTTAATTTGACATGTTGATAAGAACTTAACAAGTACAGCTGGAACATAGGAATGCCATTAGTCCTATATTAATTGGTCCTAAACCAAAATGTTGGACCAACCTAAAAAAAAACATGAATTCATTATGAGGGAAACATCGATGTCTAATCCAAAATTGGTGACAATCCATCTAAAAAGGTTGGCAAGAATTGTAATCTTATCGATCAAGAGAAAGGATTCATCCTCTGGTTACCATGTGTATTTACTTATTGTACTTAAAGTCATATATATAAAACTAAAAAGACTTCTGTGTCAACCGTGGTAATGCATCAGTTTGTCTATAAATGGACGTTTAGGACATGAAGGTTAAGAGGAGGTGAATGGAAAGAACAAAGAGACTTTTTGAATCAGTTTATTTATAGAGGTTGAATGATGGATTGAAACATCAGTTTGCTGGAATAGCTACGAGCTAAAAGTCAAGTTGTAGAGGGAAAAAGAGGAATGATGGATGTGTATTCATTATCATTACATGCCATTTGTTAGATGCTTTTATCCAAAGTGACTTACATACTCAGTACTGTGGGCAATCCCCACAGGAGCACTTTGGGGTGAAGTGTCTCAGGGACACAACGACATGCTGACTGCAGTGGGACTCGAACTTGCTATCCCCTGATTCGAAGTCCAGCACTCTATCCACTGATCCACAGCCGCCATATATGTATAAGTCTGGAGGGCTGGACACCATCAAAGTCAGTGAAAGCAAACTGAACATTGGCGTTAGTTTCAGCCTCCTTTGATCGAACACATACCGGGAAATCTAAGAAAAACAATGTTGTTTGGTGCAGTCCTTTGAGAAAGACAGCCTTTTCTACTGAACTGACAACATTGAAAGCTGTATGCTATATCTTGTAAAAGAACCTGTGAATTATAAGGATGAGCAGTTAAAAGGTGTTCCTTTGTAAGCTAGATAGAAGAGATTTAGATGAGTCCAATGAGGCTCTGTTGATATCGCTGATGCTGAAACCCATCAATCTTTCCTGTTGTGTTTTCTAGTTTGAGAGCTTCTGAGGCGCCGACTGTTTTTGCCTTGAAGAAGCACTAATGTGATTTGTCAATATGTTGGGTTCTGGCAGCGGTCTCCAGTAGGATAAAGAAGAAAGAGCTTTTATTTTTGGACTTTGATATCAAGTCATGAGGTTTCCTTCTTTTTGGTCTGTCTTTAAAGTTAAACGAATTAGCCGAACATTGTTTTTAAGCAGTTGAAATGTAATTCAGCCTTTGATCTGATCCAAAATGGATTACTTTGACCTGAACAACTCACAGATCTAGCTAGCCAGCAAATTCATGTTAGTTCTGCTAGTTGGATGACAATGCAGTCCTGTTCTGACTTTTAAATGTTTCCAGCTATCTGAAATGAAAAGGAGGAACTTGCAAAAAGGAAGTTGAATATGCTTTGATGCTTACACACAATACATTGCCAATATAGTGCCGTGTAGTGACTGCAAAAAAGACTGAGTAGACACCCACAGTTAGTCCATAACGTGACTTTAGAGTTTAAATTGAACACTATATAGCATCAATCATACATTCGCAGTTAATCTTATTTATGTGATGACATTATGTCTTTAGCTCTAAAAAAACGACATTGCAATATGTACTATACTATAACTATATTTAACCGGATGAAGGATTTTAGTCACGGACGTCTGGATCTTAACTGGTTGACTCATCATACCTTACGGCATGATCTAACATGTCATGATAATGCGTGTTGCTTCCCCTCAAATAAGGGGGTTCATCTGTGAATGAAGAAGAGAAGAACCTTTTTGTATCCAAAATAGTTCCAGATGGCAGATGTTGCTTTTCTTTTTGGAAGTAAATCTTCATTCTCGCCGGTATTGTCCTCCTGTGCCTCGCTCATTTTTTACTGCGGGGCGGGGCCTGCTGTGATCTGATCAAGAATGCTTGTGATTGGTGGTTTGCTGTGCATGCAGAGCCTGCACTCAAGTACCCCTGACATGAGAGCCGCGCAAGTTTTCCTTTTGTGGCAAGCAGCAAAATAATTGTAACATGACGTGTTTGAGTTCATTTACATACTTAATATCGCACGTCCTAAAAAAAATAATATATATTATAAAAAAAATAATAAAATCGCACGTCCCTGCGATGTGAATATCGCGCATGCGCATATCGCGGTTATCGCCATGACACGATATATATCGTTCAGCCCTACCACATACATTACTTTAACCCTCAAGAAAAACCAGACACGTACACACAAGCTTCTGTTCACAGTCTGTGTTTAATGAGATGCTCTGGCCTCTGGGTTTCTTTGTTCTGACTCTTAAAGTTCATCTAAAGGCGTCTGCTGTCTCTCAGACTCGTCTAATGTCCAAATAACCACTGATGAACGAGGACAAATTCGCTAACATCTTGTGCTCTGAGTGAATATAAAGTATTTATGCTCCTTCAGACCATGTTGCTGGTCTATTTCAAAACGTGTCTTCACACCCTGACTTGTACCCAGCACTTCTCCATAATGCATGATCTTTTGCACAGCAACACAGGAAGTTGTTTTAGTATCTGAACCTTTAATCGACTTTCTGACTTTTTGGGGAAGTTTGGTAACCCTACATCAGGGCTTCGCAAACTCCGGACCAAACTGCAACTCAATCTGGACCGAACCCTGTGTCCCATTATAAAAATAATTTCTGATTCTGATGTGAATTAAAGTGCACCTATTATGCTATATTGGAAACATATATTGTAGGGCCATACCTATACAAAACATGTCTGTGAAGTTTTTTGCTTTAAATACCAAACAGTTCACCCATTGTACTCATACTGCTCATACCCCTCTTTTGCAGCCCTGTTAGAGAAATGTGGGTTTTGGGTTCTTAGCTTGAAAAAAAAAAAGAAGGAGGCGGAGCTAATGCCTGATCAGAATTCTACCGGTGATAAAGTTAAATTCTGCTGTGATAAAACGCCATCCTGTTCTAAACCACATCAAAGATTATTTCTGAAACGGTATGGAGCTCAAATGATTTTTCTCTTGCGGGTTTATCACAAGGTGAGTTCCTTTTTTTTCCGTTTCTCCCATTTTTTCCCCTTTAAACTGTGGGTTTTCTCTGGAAGTGTTTCCTTGTACGATGTGAGGGTCTAAGGATAGAGGGTGTCGTTTTTCTCATACTGATATTCTGAACAATCTGTGCTGTTGTATTTGCTGTAAAGTGTCTCTACTGTAGGCTAATTTTATTATATGTACAGCACTTTGGCTCGACCAAAAATCGTTTGTAAATGTGCTATATAAATAAAACTTGATTTGATTTTTTTATTTCCTGCTTTTTAAACACACGTGCTCTTTAGGACAGGTTAGCTCTGAGTGTTAGCGAGGCTTGCTAATGTAAACAAAGAAGAGATTACGTCCAAAACACGTCAGGCATTGTTTCTGATAGCAATTTGATGTGGGTCCGTTGCCGATTTGACGTCAGTTTGGATGGAATCTGTATCTGCTCATTGTACCCCTGTTTTTAAAAGATTTGGGTACGGAGGAAAAGAGAGAGGGTTTCATTTTCTGACGCTGCGTGAGTTCCCCGACGCACCGGGGACACATATTTATGTATAAAAGACTTTACTGGCATTGATCCGGACCATTGACCTAGTATAAAATTCACAAGTGGACCTTTAACAAAAAAGTTTGAGTACCCCTGCCCTACATGTTACCCAACGACAAACTTGCAAAGAATCCCTCATCATCTGAAGACATTATAATAAATGATCAAGGGGTAAAAGTTGCGAGAAGATATTGTATGATGCAAAGATCTTTGTCGTAGCACAGTTCAGTTGAAAGGAGCTCTGTTGTTGTAGTTTATCTCACAAGTAACCCGTTTCCCGGTTAGTGCATTGATAAAGTTTCAACCCAAAAGGTTAGAGATGTTATTGGTAGGGAGGGATATGACCTTGTCTTTTAATGGCATGCCAACGACTTTTTCCTGAAAGCTACAACCCAAGAAGTGAAACTAAAGAAACTCCTCTCTGGTAGTCCTGAAGAACATTTGGGTTGAAAAACATTTTGTTGTCTGGTTGTTTCCTCTAGCTGATGGAAATGAGTCTCTCTGTAACAAGAGGTTCATCTTAAAGAGGCTAGAACTTGTTTTCTCTTTGGACAAACCAATCAACATATGTTCTTAGGGTTCATATTTGCAGCTGTCACATGTAGTCCTTGCCTTGCTCTAAGTCTTCTTCAGATTTCGAGACTAAGAAATACAGTTTCAGGACCTTCCTAGAAAAGGAAACTTTCTCAAACTGACGGATACATTTGGGGACAGCTTGTTTTATAAGACAAGGACCTTGGATGCTCAAAACATCCTCGTCCCTGATGTGACTTGTATAATTGACCCCAGTAAAGAAGGTGGAAAATGAGCATTTCCTCGCAGGGATCCGTGAAGCTTCTGGCCTGTTTTTCCTTTTCCCCCGTGCCCTTCATGCCACTTACATAACCATGAGGACATTTTCCGAGCTGAATGCTTATCAGTCCGTGAAACTCTGTGAGTACCAACGTAGCTCTCAGAAATGTTTTGCTTCGTACATAGAAAGCATCTGTATTCATAACGGTATTGAACATCTAAATATCTAAATGGTACCCTGGTATATCGTAGTACCACCAATGAGTTGAGGGTTAAACAAGATATTGAATCCCTTCATGAAGGAAGTGCAATGTGTCGTGATACATCAGGTTAAAGACACTAGCTACGGATTACCTGAACAGTTGATCTACATGATCAGAAGTTGTATCTTCAGTTGATTCCTCAAACAAGTTCTGTTGGTGTCCTTTTCTTTTTTGGGTTTACCTGAATTACTGAAGTTCCTCACTCTCGCTTTCCTTCTTTCCTGTCAGGACGCGAGGCAGAAGTTCCGCTCGGTTCTGGTCGAGGCCACGGTGAAGCTGGATGAACTAGTGAAGAAGATCGGAAAACCAGTGGAGGAGTCCAAGCCGTACTGGGAGGCCCGAAGGCTGGCCAGACAGGTGAGTCAGCAGCAGAGAGGGCAAGAGTACACACACCTTTACTCAAGTAGAAGTACAGACACTCATGTTTAAAAATACTCTTTTAAAAGTAGAATTTACTGACTAAACTTCTTTACTCAAGTAGAAGCACAGATACTCGTGTTTAAAAGTACTCTGGTGAAAGTAGAAGTACTGACTAAACTTCTTTACTCAAGTAAAAGTAAAGAGGCTTTGAAATGTACTTCAGTAAAAAGTACCCATAACTAGCAGCTGCTTTAAAGAGTACCTGACCTCCCTTTATATTAATAGAACAATAATGTCATTGTTAGCTAATGAATGTTTCCATGCTGAACAACGGCAACATGACAACGTTTCCATTGGTCCCTCTTCTTTAGAGAAGACCAGGAAATGATGGATACACGGATCGTGTTCAAATCAATAGGCACGCAATGACTCTAAAGAATAATGATCACGCATCAAACACACATTCAGACTAAAGGAACCAGCTGTTTGGAAAATGAGAGAAGTAGAAAGTACAGGTATTTGAGTTCAACATGTGAGAAGTAGAAAGTACAGGTATTTGGGTTCAACATGTAAGAAGTAGAAAGTACAGGTATTTGGGTTCAACATGTAAGAAGTAGAAAGTACAGGTATTTGAGTTCAACATGTAAGAAGTAGAAAGTACAGGTATTTGAGTTCAACATGTAAGAAGTAGAAAGTACAGGTATTTGGGTTCAACATGTAAGAAGTAGAAAGTACAGGTATTTGAGTTCAACATGTAAGAAGTAGAAAGTACAGGTATTTGAGTTCAAAGTGTAAGAAGTAGAAAGTACAGGTATTTGAGTTCAACATGTAAGAAGTAGAAAGTACAGGTATTTGAGTTCAACATGTGAGAAGTAGAAAGTACAGGTATTTGTGTTCAACATGTAAGAAGTAGAAAGTACAGGTATTTGAGTTCAACATGTGAGAAGTAGAAAGTTCAGGTATTTGGGTTCAACATGTAAGAAGTAGAAAGTACAGGTATTTGGGTTCAACATGTAAGAAGTAGAAAGTACAGGTATTTGAGTTCAACATGTGAGAAGTAGAAAGTACAGGTATTTGGGTTCAACATGTAAGAAGTAGAAAGTACAGGTATTTGGGTTCAACATGTAAGAAGTAGAAAGTACAGGTATTTGAGTTCAACATGTAAGAAGTAGAAAGTACAGGTATTTGAGTTCAACATGTGAGAAGTAGAAAGTACAGGTATTTGTGTTCAACATGTGAGAAGTAGAAAGTTCAGGTATTTGAGTTCAACATGTGAGAAGTAGAAAGTTCAGGTATTTGAGTTCAACATGTGAGAAGTAGAAAGTACAGGTATTTGAGTTCAACATGTAAGAAGTAGAAAGTACAGGTATTTGAGTTCAACATGTGAGAAGTAGAAAGTACAGGTATTTGGGTTCAACATGTAAGAAATAGAAAGTACAGGTATTTGAGTTCAACATGTAAGAAGTAGAAAGTACAGGTATTTGGGTTCAACATGTGAGAAGTAGAAAGTACAGGTATTTGTGTTCAACATGTAAGAAGTAGAAAGTACAGGTATTTGAGTTCAACATGTGAGAAGTAGAAAGTTCAGGTATTTGAGTTCAACATGTAAGAAGTAGAAAGTACAGGTATTTGAGTTCAACATGTAAGAAGTAGAAAGTTCAGGTATTTGGGTTCAACATGTGATAAGTAGAAAGTACAGGTATTTGAGTTCAACATGTAAGAAGTAGAAAGTACAGGTATTTGAGTTCAACATGTAAGAAGTAGAAAGTACAGGTATTTGAGTTCAACATGTAAGAAGTAGAAAGTTCAGGTATTTGAGTTCAACATGTAAGAAGTAGAAAGTACAGGTATTTGTATTCAACATGTAAGAAGTAGAAAGTACAGGTATTTGAGTTCAACATGTAAGAAGTAGAAAGTACAGGTATTTGAGTTCAACATGTAAGAAGTAGAAAGTACAGGTATTTGTATTCAACATGTAAGAAGTAGAAAGTACAGGTATTTGAGTTCAACATGTGAGAAGTAGAAAGTACAGTTATTTGTGTTCAACATGTAAGAAGTAGAAAGTACAGGTATTTGAGTTCAACATGTAAGAAGTAGAAAGTCCAGGTATTTGAGTTCAACATGTGAGAAGTAGAAAGTACAGGTATTTGAGTTCAACATGTAAGAAGTAGAAAGTACAGGTATTTGTGTTCAACATGTAAGAAGTAGAAAGTACAGGTATTTGAGTTCAACATGTAAGAAGTAGAAAGTACAGGTATTTGAGTTCAACATGTGAGAAGTAGAAAGTACAGGTATTTGAGTTCAACATGTGAAGTAGAAAGTACAGGTATTTGAGTTCAACATGTAAGAAGTAGAAAGTACAGGTATTTGAGTTCAACATGTAAGAAGTAGAAAGTACAGGTATTTGAGTTCAACATGTAAGAAGTAGAAAGTACAGGTATTTGTGTTAAACATTTAAAGAAGTAGAAAGTACAGGTATTTGAGTTTCAACATGTAAGAAGTAGAAAGTACAGGTATTGTGTTAAACATGTAAGAAGTAGAAAGTACAGGTATTGTGTTAAACATTAAGAAGTAGAAAGTACAGGTATTTGAGTTCAACATGTAAGAAGTAGAAAGTACAGGTATTTAGTTCAACATGTAAGAAGTAGAAGTACAGGTATTTGTGTTCAACATGTGAGAAGTAGAAAGTACAGGTATTTGAGTTCAACATGTAAGAAGTAGAAAGTACAGGTATTTGTGTTAAACATTTAAGAAGTAGAAAGTACAGGTATTTGAGTTCAACATGTGAGAAGTAGAAAGTACAGGTATTTGAGTTCAACATGTGAGAAGTAGAAAGTACAGGTATTTGAGTTCAACATGTGAGAAGTAGAAAGTACAGGTATTTGAGTTCAACATGTAAGAAGTAGAAAGTACAGGTATTTGAGTTCAACATGTGAGAAGTAGAAAGTACAGGTATTTGAGTTCAACATGTAAGAAGTAGAAAGTACAGGTATTTGTGTTAAACATTTAAGAAGTAGAAAGTACAGGTATTTGAGTTCAACATGTAAGAAGTAGAAAGTACAGGTATTTGTGTTAAACATGTAAGAAGTAGAAAGTACAGGTATTTGTGTTAAACATTTAAGAAGTAGAAAGTACAGGTATTTGAGTTCAACATGTAAGAAGTAGAAAGTACAGGTATTTGAGTTCAACATGTAAGAAGTAGAAAGTACAGGTATTTGTGTTCAACATGTGAGAAGTAGAAAAGTACAGGTATTTGAGTTCAACATGTAAGAAGTAGAAAGTACAGGTATTTGTGTTAAACATGTAAGAAGTAAAAGTAAAAAGTAGTCAGAAAAATAGGTAGTGGAGTAAAGTACTGATACCAGAAAAATGTACTTAAGTAACGAAGTATTTGTACTCCACTACTTCCCACCTCTGGTCAGCAATGCATGATGGGAGGGAGGAGGGAAATGGAGGATGGTTTATCATTTAGAACTGTTATTAAGGAGGGTTCTGGGTCCAAATTCCAATCAAGTCTTGTCTAACTGCCACATATTATGGGTTTGTGTGTCAATGGATGAATTAGCAGAGTGGATCTGAAGAAATCTAAATATACTTATTTTAAGCTTTGATCACATGGTCAAAAATGTCCCAAATTGGGATCAATGAAGTACATCTTATCTTATTGGTCATTTATACCTTGTTTTTTAAATCTTTAGCCAATTAAAGGATCTTCTATTTATGTTTGACCCCTACTTGGTTTCTTTTCAATTATTTATTTGTATTAATCTTTGAAGCAGATGAAGAGAGAATCTTTTTAATCACTCTCCATGGTTTTATATTGATTCTTAAAACCTCATTATAATATGAATGCCTGTTTCCACTGCTGCTGCTTTTTATGAAGTCAAGTCTTTTACATGTTACTCAGGTCTCTTAATACTGACATTAACTTGGACTTTTTTAACACTAGTTGTTTTTTAAAATACGTGGGACCAAGTCCTCATACAAATGCCTATTTATTACATATCCAGTATGTTTAACTCTACATGTCCTGGTAGTTGTTTCATTTATTCTTAATGGTTTGGGGGTTTTACCAGGTCACAACTTGAGACTTGATTAATTACAAAAGAAGTACAAAAAGTCCAGACCTGTGTTTTTTAGTTTTGATGGAAACATGGTTGATCTTTACTCGCCTTGAATAATATCGGTCCAGCGTATAGAAATTAGAATTTTGTGATGAAAGGGGCGACTACACAATCATTTCAGACCTTGATCTCGGTCTCGTTTAGAGTGTGTGTGTGTGTGTGTGTGTGTGTGTGTGTGTGTGTGTGTGTGTGTGTGTGTGTGTGTGTGTGTGTGTGTGTGTGTGTGTGTGTGTGTGTGTGTGTGTGTGTGTGTGTGTGTGTGTGTGTGTGTGTGTGTGGTGTGTGTGTGTGTGTGTGTGTGTGTGTGTGTGTGTGTGTGTGTGTGTGTGTGTGTGTGTGTGTGTGTGTGGTGTGTGTGTGTGTGTGTGTGTGTTGTGTGTGTGTGTGTGTGTGTGTGTGTGTGTGTGTGTGTGTGTGTGTGTGTGTGTGTGTGTGTGTGTGTGTGTGTGTGTGTGTGTGTGTGTGTGTGTGTGTGTGTGTGTGTGTGTGTGTGTGTGTGTGTGTGTGTGTGTGTGTGTGTGTGTGTGTGTGTGTGTGTGTGTGTGTGGTGAAAATAAAAGAGGAAGCAGCCACCTGCACGTCTCGCTTAGCGCCCACAGCTGTGAGCACTCACTCAGGAAGCTCAGAGATCGACAGAGACTCTAAAAGGCTTCATTATGTAGTTCCCCCCCCCCACACACACACCTTCTGATGTGGCTGTCTGAGCCATTCAGGTGTTCATGGGGATATAAATACTGAATGTGATGGGTTATTTTCCATTGTGTGTAAACCCAGAGTTCCTGTGCAGTGACTCTGCAGTTCTCCTTTTTCAGCTTCCTATTTGAACCTGTTTTAAACTAAGATGACGTAGATGCCACCTCTACTGTCATGTCA